CCACGTTCTCTAACATCTTGAATAATCTTGAATTTAACACGAGCTTTCTTGCCTTCCCAAATAAAGCGATTCAAGTCTCTCTGCCATTCTTTCAAGTTAAGTTCATTTTTTAAAATAGGTATCATCTGGAACAGAAAGAGAAACTTAGGTAAAATGTTCATTTTAATGGCCGCAATACGACCCAGCAAGGAAAAATGAAATTTTTTCCACATTAATAAGTCTTTTTGTACTGATTTCCACAATTTCTCATAATTGTTCTGATAAAGTTTCATGTTAGAGGAGGATAAAAAAATTCCCAAATATTTAACCTTACTAACCACTTCAAAACCTGATAGTTGCATAAGTTGTTTTTTATCTTTAGCAGTCATATTCTTTACCTGTATATTGTTTTGATTTAGGATTAAATTATATAGTCAGAGTTGGATAAGACAGACTTCTGTTAAAGATGCAGAGAAATTTTATGCATACATTTTATATAAATCATTATTAAGGCTTCCCTTTGAAATACGTTTAATATTCCAGCCCAGGTTTAAACGTAATAATTGTCAATGATAGTTGTAAATGAAACAAGGATAACAGAATCTATTTAATGTACCAAATAGTTTATTTTAGCATTATTCTTGACACCTAGGATGTTACAGTTCATTTTATTCATTTCTTTTCCAGACTCCATGTACTTCATGATGGTGAAGGGATTTTATTGTGCTTATGATTTTAGTATGTTTAAGTTTGACATTAGCATTTATTTTACATATAGTAACCATTTTATATTGATACTTATAGTGTTATCATGTAATCATTGTTTTGTTATTTTGTAATCATTATTTTGTAGTTAATTGCTTGATCAGATGCTTTATATATATATTGGGAAAGTAAGGGCTTCGTGCTTTAGGTATAGGTGATTGCTTATATGAAAAGAGCACAGTAAGGGGAGGGGGGAAAGGAGCTACGGATGGAGCCTGGGTTGCTGTGTATGAGTCATCATCTAGGAATTATTTTTTTGTGCCATCTTATGCCTAGTACCAAGACCTGATCTTTTTGTTCTGGAAAGGTATAAAAGGTGGAAGACATCTTTTCTGGTTGTTGCCTTCATCTCTCTACCAGCCACGAAGAGAGATGGGGGTCACCCAACTCTATTTTGATCAA